TTCTTCTTCAGGGGCAAACTGGGAAGCCCCTGGAGAAGAAAGGTCCACCTTTCGAAAGCGCTCGGGTTATAGGGTTTTTATTCATTTCTAGAAATACATTCAACATTTTCCAAAACCCAGTTCATATACAAGTGCCTGGCCAGAACTTTATACCAATATTAATAAACAGGTTATCGTGAATATTAATAAATCAATAATAATGGAAGGATATAGTTATTGTTGTTTCTCACTCAATATTGAAATATATTGTTGGAATATTGTATTTGCTGTATTTGGGGGGGGGTTAAGTTTTTTCTTTGTGGTTCTTTTTCAGAACCCCTTGAAAAAACAACAACAGGAAATATATTTGAGAAGAAACGTTTTAAACGTTTCTTTTGTTGTTTAAAGTTGCATTTGTCAATCTGAATTATGTAAAGTGGTTTGGCTGGAAATACATTGATTTTTTGTTGATTTACCCATTCCATAAAAAACAAAAATAGTTAGTGTGTTTGACAAGAACCTTTAGCTCCCCATTTTCTTGAAACTGGTTTAGAAAGTACTGATGATCTTCTGTTGCGGTATATTAGTCAAAGTAACGGCAAGATGGATACTTCACCAATAACGATTGATAAATGTTGCTTGTAGATAGATGGCTCAACTTTCCTGTAAGTTTACGGGTTGTTCGTTTTATTTTCTTTTTTTACCATTTTTCTAGTCAGGTCAGGAAGAAGTGTATGTAAGAACACGTATTTTTGAATTCGTTTGTTTGTAGTTAAACGCATAGCTGTACAATGGGCTATCTGTGCTCTCGCCCCACGCGAGTATCGAAACCTGATTTCTAGTGTTGTAAGTCCGCAGACATACCGCTGTGCCATTGGGGGGGGGGATTTTGAATTCCAATAAACAGTTAATATGATAAATATAATGGACAAATTTTATTGGTTCATATCATATGGCAAAACTTCAGATATAAACACTTCTTTTAAAGCATAATAGCTTTCATTTTAAAAGCGGGAGCGACTGTTTATAAGCTTAAAACATAGAATGAACGTATAAGGACATCACCTTAAGAAAAAACAAAATAATTAATAAAATTCCCCCAGACAAAAATAAATAGAAACGTATTGATATTATATTTTGTAAATGAAAAAATATACGTTGCTATCCATTTTCACAAATAATTATAAGCTCGACTACATTTATTACGATACTATCAAGCAAATTGAAGAAATAAAATAAAATTGGTTTTAGTGAAAAAAATGGGCTATGTGCATTTTGTCCACCGTGGCGAACTGAACTTTGATTTTAGTGTTGTAAGCCACCGGGAAACCAGAGATTAGAAGGTTCAAATTGATGCTTATGTATTGTTACTACATGCAGTAAAGAACAAAATTAGGCTTATACAACTATACGCTCTTTTATGTACAATTTTTCACATAGTATTGAACAAAATTTTAGTAATACATGCAGAATTTTAATTTTTCCTCAACTCATCTTGTTAGCCACTTGTATGTACCATAAAATCATAAATGACACGCACTTTGACCCATAGTCAGGCAGAGATTGAGGTAAGTTGAAAACTTCATCTCCTGAATAAATCAAAATTACAAGTGCAAAAAAAGTATTAAGTCTAATAGGTCGCATATAATACCACAACACAATGTTTCCGAAATCATTTATATCGTTAAAATGGTGTACATCAGTAGATTTATATGTCTCGGTTGTCTCTTAACATGGATTAAACTGTTTCTATAACAATATTTTCACAAACCTCCTTCGCCAATGATTATATATCATGTATTTCAGCTAATGATAAAAGCTTCATTTCATATAAAGCTTCTTTTATGAGAGACATGACTACATTCCCATCGATCCATGTTTGAATGTGTAAAGAAGCAACACGGGAAATATTCAGCATTTCATGTACGTTTCTTCTGCACACGATGTGAGAGATCCTTGTGAACAGCGCAGTAGTGATATGTTTTATCAATGTTTTGTTGTATGTAAAACATTTATGAGATTAACAATATTCTATCTACTCTCAAAATCAGCTGGTTTTTTTTGCATTTTTCTGTAAAACAGATCGAACCCAACAACTTTCCATAAAGTGATCTAGTTTTATTGCAGTTTTCCATCAGTAAAACTTTAGCTTTTCATGAAGTTTTTCGCTTGTTATAATTTACCAGCTAAAACAAAATAATACATAAACTGATTTCAAGCGAGTTCTATCGAATTCCGGCAAGAAAACACACACCAGACTCGCAGTCTCGGTAGTAGTCCTTCTCTATTTTTAGCTAAGCGAGGCGTAGCTCTAAGTAAATAACTTGTGACGACTGTAAGTTAAAATTATCCGAGAAGTATTTGCAACTGTTTACTGATAAAAAAAAACGGCCCTTTAGAGTTTTTTCCCTAGCGTATTGTTTTCCTTCTTTGTTACAACTATGTGTCAAAACTAGTTGATGTACATAGTCTACTGCGTTATTCATTATAAACTTGAATGTTGTTTTTAAAGATATGTTGGATTATTTGCAATGCCAAAAAGAACAACAAAAAACGTTTACCTTTTAAACACGATTTCTTCAAACAGAATTGACTGATCCACTAAAGGTAATATAATTGTTTATAAATGAGATTATAAATATATCACTCACTTTTTGTTCGATCAGCTTGCATAGTTATTGTAATACCGATTTTTATCTGAAGATGTTCAGACTCACTTACGTTACTCACTCAGTTACACCATAAAACCAAGCATTCGCTATTCGTGGAGTTTTAATAACAAATCTAACAATACTGTATGAAATAATTATTTTGAATAAGATCACAAATGTTTGTGAATAATTCTGTGTGCAGTATAACAGAAGAAACTTGCCATACCTCAACATGTGGAAAATTATATGTCAACTTACTCTTTCTATTACAGAAGAAAAATGCTTACTTATCTTTGTGTGTGAAAATGTCTAATTATTCAAGTGTAGTCACATCTGAATAATAATATCTGAAAATGAAATGTTAAACTTGGCGCTTAATTTTGAATTAAAAAAATAACTTCAGGAATAAAAATATATAACTTTGTAATAACAAGTGCATTTTGCAACTACAAAGTTTTAACAGATTCTATCGTTAAAAGGTGCTTATTGAATCCTATCAAATTAATCATATATAGTTATATGTATATATAAAGAGATTACAACACTTTATGACAGATTTCAAAAGGTTATTTAACTAATGTTAAATGTCTGTGTGTTTATAGAGGAAAATGACAAATTTTACTTTGATAAACAACGTGTGTGTGTGTGTGTGTGTGTGTATATCGATGTTGGCCTTTATTGTTTAGATACAGGAAAATAAGTTAACAGATTTGCTTTACAAAACAGTTTAATCGAGCTCTTCCGTTTGTTTTATTTTAGTACCAGAGACAGAGAAAAGATGGGGTGTTTATTTCCATATCGCTAAAATATTGAACAAAACCTTTTTTAATGTGTATAAAGTTAATTGTATATTTTTGTTGAATGAAGAACATTACAAGCATTACTCATGAACAAAATCAACTTAGACACTATATATATATATATATAAAGCTATGAATATTTTTAGGTTTTATCATTTTGACGAAAACATTTAAAGATGTGTTAATTAACCTATTACCTATTTGTTATCGTACATATTCGAAAAGTTGTTTCTAATCAATTTGGGTATATATATATATATATATATAAACCATTATTTATGTTTACTGTTTTATAACCATACATAAAATAAAATGTTTTGCATCATATATTAGGAGTTGCTCATTATTCCCAAAAATAGTATAAACGGGTTAAATTTTTGAAGGAACATATAGTAGAGCAATGGGTTAATTTTCTGAAATGTCATAAACAAATATGAAGAAAAATGGTGAATGCTTTTATATAAGATAATCACAGAATACTGATTTGTAACTTATGATCTTTCTATAAAGAGAAATAATCGAATAATTATAAGTTAAATGTCCGTGATGCTCATTTGTGTATTTGAAAAACAACCAAGTTTAAATGTATATAAAGTTTTGAAAAAAATGTAGAAATGAACACTTAATGTTCTTTTTAACGTGACAAATGAACAAAGGTCAAAACTTGTCATTGACTGGTAAGTTGAAATATCTCACAGCCTCACACTGTATGTGCGATTACGTGACAGTCTCCTAACAATTACTTTTCTTGATATCAGTGTCCACTCTGTATGTGTGTGACCACAAGGTAACCTTTGTAATGTTTAAAACTCCGTGTCCAGATTGTATGCGTGTCGTCTTAGTCTCAAAATTGTATAAAGTTACGTATTTTAAGTAATAGTAAACTTTACATGTGATTAAATCTAGTCTTTGAGGCCTTTCTTCTTACAATAACTGTCTATATACATGGGAAGAACTTGTTTGACATCATTTCGAGATCATAGGGGTTCGTTAATTTTATAATCGAAAATGGAGAAACAACATGTAGAAATTTGTATGTGTGTTTTGTGATTGTATACTTTCAGTGATAATGACGCCAGTTAGGAAGAACACAGATACTTTGTATATTCTGCTTGAAAGTTTGTTTCGAACACGTTACATCACTAATGTGGTCCTCAAAGATTTATGGTAAGTGTTGTTATTCTATACTAGTCATTAATTATATTTAATATGTAATAAAATGTAAGTTGTGATCTCATTCAAATAAATGATAGCATTTTACGTTCAATAATGTTTATGATATTGTTCATATGATGAAGTCCACTCTTGTAAAACTGGTGTAAGATAAAACTATAAAGTACCATATGTAATAGGAAGCGTAAGTTGTAATTATTGCATAATAAACGTTTTATTTACGATGTAAAATGTAATATTTTGTTGTATAAAGTCAAATTAATAAAACTACAAGTTTTAATTATTGTATGATATCACCCTCTTTAGGGCGATTTAATTTAAACCTATTAAAAATAAACATGATGAGACACAAATCATCTCTGTCATTGTCTATGACCGCCTGTCATGGCGGCCAAGCAATATGTTCTCTGTTTCGTGGAACGACTCTCTTGACGTCCTGTCATGGTGATCTAGCGATACGTTCTGAGTTGTTAAAATACTGTCATTAAAATAGTAGTAATTAATTGACACAATAAATATCATGTAAATACGTCCTTAATAGATGTATCTTTTTATGTAGATCAGATTGCAAAATCTTTATTTTGAGAAAATAAATAAATTATTAAAAAGGAAATACTGTGTCCAGAATTTTTTATTCTAAACATATCACTGAAAAATTTTAAACACCTGATATATATATTTATACAGTAAATTTAAACTAAGATATTGCCTTTTTAGCCACGTATCGTGTCAGTCATTGTGTCATGGCCGCCTGTCATGGCGGCCTAGAAACACGTTCTCTACTTTGTGGTACTATTACGTCATGGCCGCCTGTCTGGTATCGAACTATAATTTCATCCATATCACACCATGCCCGCCTATTTGG